TTTGGGTGAATGAAGCTTTTCATTCCCGAGTTACCGAGTCACAGAGAAACTCTATAGCCAGCCACTTGATGTATGATGAGACTCTCTCCTGAAGTCACTATATCTTCTTTGTTCCTGATAGTCGTGGGCGGGCTCTCTTTACCTGTAGTCACTAACATTCATTCTGTTTTTAAATTATTTTTTGGCCTGGTGTGGTGGTGCACCCCTTTAATTCCAGCACTCGGGAGGCAGAGGCAGGCGGAGCTCTGTGAATTCCAGGCCAGCCTGGTCCACCTAGTGAGTCCCAGGACAGCTGGGGCTACAGGGGGACCCTGTCTCACAAAAGACCAAAAAAAAAAAAAAAAAATTATGTATTGTGTGTGTGCCACAGCATGTGTGGAGGTCAGAGGACAACTTGCAGGAGTCAGTCTTCTCCTTCTGTCATGTGGGTCCCAGGATTGAATTTAGGTCATCAGATTTCGCCGCAAGCTTCCTTACCCTCTGAACCATCTTGCTGGCCCCCCATATGGTCTGTTTCCTGGGCATAGCCACAGTGGGAGGCACGAAGTGACATCTCATTATGAGATCATTTTATGTATGTATAATTTTTTTTAATCTTTCTGAAACAGGGTCTCCCTGTAGCCCCAATTGTTCTGGAACTCACTATGTAGACCAGGCTGGCCTTGAACTCACAGAGATCCACCTGCTTCTGCCTCCTGAGTGCTGGGATTAAAGGTATGCACCACCATGCCTGGCATTAGTGTATAATTTTATTTTTTTGGTCTTTTTGAGACAGGGTCTCCCTGTAGCTCCAGCTGTCTGGAATTCACTCTGTAGACCAGGCTGGCCTCAAACTCACAGAGGATCTGCCTGCCTCTGCCATCCAGTGCTGGGATTAAAGGCGTGCACCACCACACCTGGCATAATTTTTATTTTGTCTGTGTGGTTTGCCTGCTTGTATTTAAGTACACCACATGTGTGCAATGCCCACAGAGGCCAGAAGAGGGCAGTCAGTCCCCTGGAACTGGCATTATGAATGATTGTTAGCCACCATGTGGGTGCTGGGACCCAAACCTGGGTCCTCTGCAAGAGCAGCCAGTGCTTTTAACCATTAGGCTGGCTCTCCAGCCCCTTAGTTTTTATTTTTGAGGCCTGGTCTTGAACTCCTGATCCTCCTGCCTCCACCTCCTGAGTGGTGAGATAACAGGTGTGCACTACCACACCTGGTTTATGGGGTGCTGAGGATGAACCCAGGGCCTTGTGTGTGCTCGGCGAACTCTGCCTCCTGAGCTGCAGCCTCCTAGAGCATTTTTTACTAAGCATTGTGTGTGGACAAGGCCGGTCTCCCTTGCAGCATTTTTTATCCCCAAATGGGGCCTAACCTCCTGTAAATGCCCACTTGGATGGATGGGTAGATGGGTGGGTGGGTGGATCGATGGATCGATGGATGGATGGGTAGACAGCTGAATGGCTGACCTAACAGAATCTCATCTGAGCTGTCTCCCTCCCTCCCTCCCTGTCAGTCTCATTGTCTCTGAGACCTGTGCAGTGGCAGACAGGAGCCCAGCCAGCGGAGAGCCCAGCTGTGCAGAGGCCCTGACTGTGCAAAGGTCCTGTGGCCATATTAGCCCCCATGGGTAGCAGTGGACCCTTGTCCCGTCTACACCCTTGTGAGAACTGCAGGCATCACATGTCAACACTTGAGCCTGGGCCTCCAGGGTGCACACAGCCCCTAGCCCAGCTATCTTTTAACTTGTTTTTTGAAAACATTAACTACAGAATTCCTAGTCTTTCCCACCTTAATCCCAGAGGTAAAAATCCAAAGGTTTTCCTTTCAAAGTCTGTTTTCCTTTGTTTTGGTTTTTGTTTGGTTTGGTTTGGTTTTTTGGTCTTTCTGAGATAGGGTCTCCCTGTAGTTCCAGTTGACCCAGAACTTGCTGTGTGGACCAGGCTGGTCTCAAACTCACAAAGATCCACCTGCCTCTGCCGACCAAGTGCTGGGATCAAAGGTGTGTGCCACCATGCCCCACCATTTGTTTTTTGGAGACAGGGTCCCCTGTAGCCCCAGTTGACCCAGAACTTGCTGTGTAGACCAGGCTGGCTTTGAACTCATAGAGATCTGCCTCTCTCTGCCTCCCCAGTGCTGGCGTTAAAGTCATGTGCCAACTCAATCTTTTTTTTTAAAAAAAAATTTACTGTTTTTATTTTATGTGTATGAATGTATTGCCTGCATGTATGTGAGTGCACCCATGTCGTGCTATGCCGTGGAGGTCAGAAGAGGGCTTTGGATTCCT